TATCTCATGGAACTGAGCATGAATGTAGTAGTCTAAGAACCTGCGGTTCTACTTCCATTACACACCCTAGAAGAACCTTTGAACACACACTGTATCAGACCTGAATGATTTATAAATCATCTCTTCATAAGAGAAAAAAAAAAGAAAAAGAAGAAACTGTTTTAAAGGATCACTGCACTCTGGACAATTTTGTATGCTGTTTTCTTAGTCCTTAGTTCAACAACTGGTTCCTTGAGTTGTAGTTAAAAAAAATAATCCCCTATTGCTTGGCCCTAGCAATTTTCTATTTCCAATAACAAAAGGATCTGCAATTAAGATAAGTACTACATACTCTATCCAACATTTAGTGAGATCTCTGTTTTCAGACAATGATACAAGCAGGGAGCAGAGATGGGCAGAGGTAAATGTCTGCAGCACCAGGCACACTGGTCACCTATAGGAGGGAGACCACTGTTGAGAAAATGTCCACCTGGGTCATGAGATTGAGAGTCACCTGTGCCTAAACATCTGGATTCCTGAGTTAAATTGATTTGGGTATGGGGAAGGAGACTGTGAGGAATCTATTTTCTGCTTTGGGACCAGGAACCCATAATTAACTATTTTCTGTCCACATCTGGGTAGTCCTCATTGGACAAGACCCAAAAGACTTTTAATTACTGATTTATTATCACTGATGCCATATTTAAGATGATTTGGTATAATTTTCAATAGCTTCTGATAAGAGCACTGGCCTTTGGGTTCTCCATTTGGGGTCTATATTGTACTAAACAGGTCATTTTGGATTTTTCCTTTTTTTTGAGATCTTAGGTGCTGTACAAAGCCAATGTTAAAATTTATTTTGACTACATGATATTTTATCAAGAATCACATTGTTTTACATTTTAATATCTCTAATAATGATATGTCTTACAACTGACAGTTTCTTAATAATCCATGTTAGCATTTTATTCTTTCTTGATGGTATCTAAAATAGAGGTGGGTCTTATAGTCAATGAAGTCTTAGACTTGTTAAATAGGTATATATACCTAGTACAAATAATCTAGTTTTACTTCTTTGCCAATATTAATTTTATCTGTAATAATCTGCACCTACAAACAATATTCACATAATACTCTTAATAGAAGCTGAGCATAGTTTTGTAGTGGGGAGGGGAGACCTTCACAACTGCTTCCACTCTACTACCCTTCTGCAACCACGAAAAGGCATTGCTGCAAGAGAGCAGGAGAGAGGGTGGGGAGGAGGACAAGAGAGAGAGAAGAGTGCTTCTTTGGTTTCTGATCACTTCCCACTCTCTTGGGAAGCCTGATAATATATCGTGCCCTGGGTTCCTTGAGTTGTAGTTAAAAAAAATAACCCCCTATTGCTTGGTCCTAGCAATCTTTTATTTCCAATAACAAAAGGATCTGCAATTAAGATAAGCACTTCTCATACTCTATCCAACATTTAGTGAGATCTCTGTAATTGCTTGTGTTTTGTTACTGTGCTAAGGGATGATTTGAGATTCACCAAAAGTCCTAGACAATAGAAAAGAGAAAGAAGTTAATAATTTAATTCCCAGCTGGGGCAGTTGGGAAGGGTCTGAAAGGATGGGTATTTGGATAAGTGGAGGTGGTAAGCCAAAGGCTCTATACAGAAGAGATGGTCAGCAAAGGCAAGGGGGTGGGGTTGTTTGAGGAGGGAAGAACTTGGGGCTAGGATGACGTGAGTGAGTCTTGTATGGGTGGTTGGGCCTGGTTTGGAAGACCTGATTGATATGCCATGTGATGGGATTTATACTGTATTCCAAAAGGCTTGCAGAGGAAGCAACAGGGAGAAAGTGATAGCATTCTTTTTTTTTTTTTTTAAATCAGAAAAATGACAACATGAGAACTTTGTTTAAACATATCACTCTGACACTGATGTGTAAGATGAAGTGGAGAGGAATGGGAGCTGTATCGGGAGTCTGTGACAGTTTGGATGAGAAGAAGTGAAGGGGAAGTGAGATATCAATATTCCTTTCCTGTGTGACATTGAAGGTTGTGTGCCAAAGAATGAACATGAGAATGGTCTGCGTGGGCAGACTCAGAATGACAACCAGAAAGGCTCACAGCTGTACAGCGGCTTCACCTCCACATGGGAGCAGTGGTGTCTGAACACTTGACCTGCAGCTGAGCTGTGTCCTTGGAATCCTCCTCCCAGCTCTCTGCATATTTTTTTTTCTCTGCATATTTGTCTTCTTTCCTCCCCACTCCTAGGCTCTTTTATTTAGATACAAACAGGAACGCTGCACTGATTAGGCCATTCCAGAATTCCGTGTGTGTATGTGAATACACGCACACATGTCCCCCCACAGTAGTAATTTGGGAAGAGCCTAAAACTAACAATTTACACAGGTTGAGTTGGGACCTTTTCCCCCTTTGCTATGGCATTTTGACAGCAAGAAAAATGATGTGAGGATAGCACTTATTGATTCACAAAAGGCCTTCCTTGTGAATTTGGATACAGATCTATCTGCGCAGTCTAGACAAATCTATGTCTATTTGGGAGGCAAAAAGCAATAGTATTATAGATGTTGTCATGGAAATTGACCTTAAAGAGACATTCTGCTTTCCCAATGGAGTGTAGAAGTAATCCATAGACATAGTTGGCTCAATAAATATTCTTATAACTAATATTGAGGATGATATTTTACATCTGGGGGAATAATTCTTACACAGTGGAAGTTAGGAAAAATAAATTGGGCATATACTGCTCAATTCTGGCCATGTGGCCACTTTAATGATGCAGTAAAAATAGAGATGGAGCAAACGAGTGCTGCTTTATGAGGATAGGCAGACTACTTAATGCCCTCAATCTGGAAAGATGAAAGTGGAGCTGGTTGTGATAAAAAAATTTATAGTGTCATGAGGGAATGAATCAGGTGAGTAACAGCTCTGAAAAGTAAGAGCGTCAAGAGAAATAAAAGACAGTGCGGCTTTACATATTTACAAATCATGAAACTTGTTATTCCAGGAGATAAGTCAAAATATGATAGATTTTTCAGAGCAGCTTAGAAAAATTAAAGGCTATAAGGTCTATTAAAGTTATGTTTAAGAAATACATCCATACTTCTTATTTTATTTATTTAATTTTAAAAACTCTTTTAATTTTTTAATTTAATATATATTTTTATTTGTTCTAATTAGTTATATGTGACAGTAGAAAGCATTTTGACACATCACACATAAATGGAGTACAACTTCTCATTTGTCTGGTTGTACATGGTGTAGTTATATATGCACATAGAGTAATAATGTCTGATTCATTCTATTTTCATTCCTACCCCCAGTCCCCCTCCCCTCTTTTCACTCCCCTCTGTCTAGTCCAAAATACCTCTATTCTCCCTGCCCCTTTATTGTGAATTAGCATCCGCATATGAGAGAAAACATTTGGCCTTTGGTTCTTTGGGATTGGCTCATTTGCTTAGCCTTATATTCTCCAGTTCTATCCTTTTACTGGGAAATGCCATAATTTCATTCTTCTTTAAGGTTGAGTAATATTATATTGTATATATACCCATTTTCTTTATCTGCTCATCTGTTGAAGGGCACCTAGGTTGGTTCCATAGGTTAGCTATTGACATTGATATGGCTGCATCTCTATAGTATGCTGATATTCTTTTTAGATATATATGACAATAGAGTGTACTTTGATATATTATGCATATATACATACAGTATAACTTATTTTAATTAGGATCCCCTTCTTGTTGTTGTACATGATTTGGAGTTTCACTGTGGTGTATTCATATATGAACGTATAGAAAAGTTATATCTGATTCATTCCACTGTCTTTCCAATTCCCATCTTCCTCCCTTCTCTTAATTCCCCTTTGCATATTTCTTATTTTAAATCATAGAAATAATACGTTTATTTATTGTAGAAAAATTAGAAAAAAAGGGCTTGTGGTATATAGCTCAATGGTAGAGCACCTGCCTAGCATGCATGAGTCTTTGGAATTCTATCCCTAGCACGGCAAAAACAAAAACAAAAATTAGAAAAAAGCATAGGGAAAATTTAAAAAGTCTATAATCTTTGGTACTTTGGTATATAGTTTCAAAACTTTTTTATTTATATATTTAATTTACCAAATGGATTCAAGCTAAGCATACTATTTTATAATTTGTTCTTTCAACTTAATATTTTATGATCATCTTTCCATGTCAGTAAACTTAGAGGTACATAAACATTTCAAATGATTGCATTGTTTTCTATTGATGTATTATAATTTTCTTCACAAAATTCATATTATTACAAATATCTTGGGATTTCTTACCTGTTTACTAGGTTTATGATACATTTAGTAACTTAAAAAATGTCTCATTGGGTTTTAATAAAACTTGCATTAAGTTTGCAGATTAATTTGGAAGAAAGCTTTAAAATATTGAGTAATTTTATCTAGAAACATTTTTTTTCATTTATTCAAGTCTTCTTTTATGTCACTAATTAAAATTTTACAATTTTCTTTAATTGTCCTGTTGATTCTCATTAACTTGATTCTTAGGTCCATAGCATTATTACTGTTATTATGTTTTGCTCCTATTATGAATGTTTTTCTCCCATTATTCTGTTCATTTAGTATATATAAGAAAATTATTGCTTTTAAAATATATTATTGTTTCAAGTGGCCTTCCTATCAAATGATCTTATTAGTTCTAGCTGTTTTTCAGTTGTTTCTCTTAGGTTTTCTAGGTTAACCAAACAAATCAACAACAAATAATAATTTTGCTTCTTCCTTTTCAATAATTACAGTTTTATTTTTTTGTGAATCTGGATACAAAACCATACTTGCCACACACTTGTAGCATGATATTAAACAGTAGGTGTATGCATGTCTTATTTCTCATTATAATGGAGATGACTTTATTATTATGACTTAAAGCATAATGCTGTGCTTGGCTAGGTATCCCCCAGAGGCCATGTGTTTAAGGCCTGGTAGTTAGTTAGCCTTTGGTACTTTGAGAGGTAGTGGATCCTTTAAGAGGTAGGGCCTAGTGGGTTTCAACAGAAGGTAATATTTTATATTCAGAGGCACTTGAGAGTGCAACATAGCAACATAGCAATCAGATGCACAATTTGGGAACGTAAGTGCAAAGGGCAAAATCAAGAGAAGAATGTCTGGCCACTCTCTATATAAACCTGTAAGTCTGAGCTAAATTTATCTTAGTTTACTCTGGTGACTGTTTGCACCTTTAATGACATGAAAAGCATTTCCACAAAATGGTTTGGGGGGTATTTCAGTTAAACAAAGCTTATGGTATAAAACAGAAGAATATAAGGAGATCTGATCAGGTTTGATAGTTGTTTCATAATATAAAGACAGATTCGTTTCTCTTTTTGGTTGCTCCAGTGTTCTTTGCAGATTCAGTCTCCCGGTTTAATAACTTTCAAGTTGAGAACCTCTGAATTTTGAACTTAATTGCAATAATTTAAGCCCAAGCATGTGTTGAACCTTATCAGCTCTTCTTGGAGCAGCCTGACTTCACCTTGGAGGAAGTAGCTGCTTCTAAGAAGTAAGCTGACCACATGGTCCTTTCTGCTTTTTCTATTTTTGAAGTTTTTCATTATTAAAAGTTGGATAAAAAATTGAGGGAAGTACTGATATTTCTGCGATTCAATCAATGAAAAAGGAAAATGCTACTCAATACATACATGAGCTACCATGAAAACTGTCACCCTCTCTCCCAGAATAAACTCACTCAGGGAGTCAGGAAATTTGGGTGAAAAATATCACTGTCATGAAGATCTGGATAAGCAATAGTCAAAAGGAAAAAATCTACCTTTTCTTTCCTTTCCCCTCTTCCTTGTCCCCCCTGGTCCTTTTCTCCTATCCTAATTGTCCTTTAAAAGACTCATTTTTGACATTTGTATTAAGTTTCAAAATGTTTTGCATTAATGATAAATTAATGGAAATTGGTTTCATTGCCCATTGTCACAATTTTTATATAGGAACACACCTATATCTGAGTTCTGTTTATGAATTAATTAATTAATTAATTAATTTGAGAGAGAGAGAGAGAGAGAATTTTTTAAATATTTATTTTTTAGTTTTTGGTGGACACAACATCTTTATTTTACTTTTATGTGGTGCTGAGGATGGAACCCAGTGCCCCGAGCATGCCAGGGGAGCACGTTACCGCTTGAGCCACATCCCCAGCCCATGAATTTATTTTTTTAACATGCTGAAAATATTCTACCAAAGGGTTTTTTTAAGAGGGGCAGGTGGTTAACTTTCTGAGTCCTTATATGTTTGCTTAGCTAGCTGCCTATATAATATTAGGATTTCAATATTTAAATTATCCTCAAAATTCTATAGATATTATTTCATTATCTTTTGCATTTAAGTTATCTGTAAAGTTGGTTGGAAAAATGATTTTTCTCCCCCTGCTTGTGTGGTTGTCTTCTTACCCTCTATTGCTGGTGTGGTGGTGGGTTTTACTTTCATTCTGATGGGTACATACCCTACATTCCATCCAGAGCTCTTCCTTGCCTGGCTCTTCTGGCACTTCATGTGTGTCTGCATTCCTGTAGGGTAACATCTTCAACCCCATGCATTTCCCTCTTTCCCATTTGTATGTTTTTTCTCAGTTTCTGTTCCAACCCTCCCTGCAGCTACATGTGTTTTCAAATCTTCTCTGTATTTTTAAATTATCTTGGTATTCTTAGCCTTTGGGCTTTTAGGACTTATTTAAACTCTCTCATCTTTCCTCTGCCGCCTTTCCAATTACTGCTGGGTCTCATTTTGCGTGGCCTACCCAAAGCTGCTGCTTAAGTAAAATTTACTTTCTAAACAGTGAAAAGTTTTACCAGGATAGATGGTTTCTGTAACCTCTCCTTACAGCACAAATTTACTCTTCAGCAGGAGTGATCCACCCATCTGTTTGCTTCCAGCCTCACTTGTTCAGAGTTCTGGTTTCTCCTCTTCTTCGACTAGAAAATGCCCCCAAAACTGGGAAACATGCTATAGTGTGACAATGTCAATGGCAAATGACTTGTATGTCTTCTCCTAGCATCCTACACTGCTTACCTTCCCCAGGATCTCCTTGTCCCTCCCAAAGGACTTTCTTAACCTAGCGCCAGGCATATACTCATACCACACGTACTGTGAAATCACAAATTTAGGATTCATCTTCCTTCTGACTTTGTGGGCTGACACATCTTGATGAAGGCCCTCATTTAGAAGAGACATTCTGTACATCTCTAGGAGTATATATGGTAGAAGATCATATTTAGCTCTTCCATTTAGTTTTCTTCAAAACACAATTTTTAAATGTTGCAAAAATCAGATGTTTGGATCATTCAGCCTAAGGCTCTGTTGATAATAATGAACTATAGTGAACTATAGACATATTCCAAGGCATTCCTACTTAAAAAAAATAAACTATTGTGTAGGAACGTTCATTGTAAGATACCAATTTGAACTCACAGATTAACTTGCCTTCTAATATTCCTGCTGAAATGTCCAAAGAAAATTAAATCAAGGGAGGAAACATTTTTATCAGCCATAGGTACCAGGGAAAGTTACAAATCCAGAAACAAAAAGGATACATTTCAGGAAATAGCACAGGTAGCCTGGATTTGAATAATAGTATATAATAGCATATAATGAAGTATTCTGGGTGGATATTGATATTATGACCATGTGGGAGAGTGTCCTTAGGAGATAGACTTAAGTAGTAGTGTTATTGTCAGAATGGGATATTTAGAGATGAAGGGTCATGATGTCATCAATGTGCTTTCTAATAGTTCAGGGTGAGAGAACACATATGCAAAGCTACATAAAACAAGGAGGACAAATGGTGAGTTCTGAAATTTGGAGTGAGTATATGTATTTAACAACTAATTCACTCTATTTTTTGTGTATTTGAACACAATTTATACCATGAAATATTTATTAAATATTTATTTAAAATTTATTTAATTGCTAAGAGCATAACTTTCCATCTTCCTTTCCCACCTCTTCTTACTTCTTTACCTTCTAGAGAATTGCTTTTTCCTTTTTGACAGTTGTTACAAAATCAGTATTTTAATTTATGAGTTCCCCTAACTTAAAGATATTTTTCTTGGAGGCTGGGGTTGTGGCTCAGTGGTAGAGTGCTTACCTAGCATGTGTGAGGCACTGGGTTTAATTCTCAGCACCACATATAAATAAGTAAATAAAGTTCCATCAATAACTAATAAAAATATTTTTTTAAAAAAGAGAGATATTTTTCTTTCTTTGGGTTAGTTTTGACCCTCTTACCATGTTAAGTGGTGAGTTTTCTTTTATTGCATTTTAAAAAGACTACTTCAATAAGAGGATGGGATGGAGACAAAAAGAGAGCTTAAAGAGTTCTTGTTATGGGTTTCTGATTATTTAAGGTGGCATCTCATCTTCCAGGGCCCAGAGGAGGAGTACATACTCCTCCTATAGCAAAGTCTGACCACATCGGGACAAAAAAGCAAATGCCATATGCTGCTAAAATCAAATCTTTTCAGTCATGTTTTTGGCCCCTTGAATAGAGCAAAACTTTGCTTAGAAAAGGAATTATGCCCTTGTAGCTTTGATAAGATCAGCCACAAAGTCAAATAGCTAAATTCAAAGGAGTCTTATTAATCTTGATTCTCTTTAACTTCTCCATAGCATCAGACTATGTGGAAAGACTTTCTTTTTAGATATCGTCTTTTCATCTTTTTACTAATACCATTGCTCTAGTTGGGTCTGGATGAACATTCTGTCATCTGGAGTCACTCCCTGCAGTCTTGTCTTCCACCCCTCCTTTTTCACCTTTCATATTGCCATCAAAGTTACCTTTGATTAATTCACAGCCCAGCTTAAACACCTGTGAGTGCTTTCCATCACCTAAAGGAAAGGTTAAAAAATCCTTGGCCTCATCTCTAGTCACTAACCTAGTGGATGGAGGATGATCAATTCTCCCCCTCTCAGTAGGGTCCTGGCTTATTTCTCCTTCCTGAAACCTATTCTGTAGCCACACGAGACAACAGGTGGCTCTCCAAGTGCCTTCTGGTACTGACTTGGGTCTTGGAAGACTGTGGCTCGGAAGACCTGCACATCAATTGTAGTAGAGAACAAATGAAAGATTGGAAACCAAAGGGTCATTCTGAGCAATGTGGCCTCAGCTGTCTGGGAAAAGTGGTTTGCCATTCTGAAAATAACACTGCTGCTTGTGTATAGCGACCACAGTGGAGAAATTCGAGAGCAAAGTGGAGCATCTTGGTTTATGCTCCTGGCATTTGTTGTGTTGTTTTGGGGGTGGGAGGGGAGTGGTTGTTAGCCATGAGAGGCGAAGGGTGAAAGTGCAAGGATAGTGACAAACGCCTCCATCTGTCTGAACTTACTCCAAACCACTGCAATCACAAGAGTCAAGTTTCCTGGAGAACAGGTTCATGGGTAAAGGAAAGGCTTTAGTGAGGCTATTTGTGGTTATTATTGTAGATGCTGTTACCCCTGGTGTGCCTCTGTATGTATCGTCACCATGGTGACCATATATTTTTCAGGTTAGCATGGGTCAAGGTGGTAAATTTTAATATTTACTTGGGAAAATATTTAATGTTTACTTGAGAAAATATTTACATGGTCACCATAGCTATGGAGTACAAAGAAGAATGATTCTCAGATGACCAGTGGATGGGCTGCCTTATTAAGCAAATAGGAAAAATCTAATATACTGAATAAAAACAGTGCAAAGCATGGAGACATTTAATTAGTTCTACTACCCCAAGTACTCTTCTTTTGAACGCTTTGGTAAATTTTGTATTCTTTTGAATAACTTCACAGTGGGACAATTTTAGAGTTGAGCTGATGAAGTGTAGATCTCTGCACTGATTTTGGAATTCAAAACATGAAATTTTGAATTTTTATGAATAAACTGCAGTAAAGATTGGGCCATCAGATTTGCATGTGGGCTAGAATTTATTTAAAAAGTGATACTTCCCACTATAGCCATTAGGATTTGGTTAGATTGTCTTTTTTGAGTCATATGTTGCACTAACTTTTCATGTTCCTTATAATATAAATGGAAGCCAAAAGATAGAATGTGTGACAGTCTCTTAAATCATATTAGATGGGTGTTGTCATTATTGCTTCCCCGCCTCCACCATCACACAAAGGCAGCAGAAGAGCATCTCATGGTCACCTCAC